CACGTGTCGATCTCGCGGGGCCACGCCGGATTTAATCGAAAACCTCACTGTGGTCGACGTGGTATAACTCCGATTACTAAAGGAATCTAAAAGGGAAAAGAATTTTTAAGGAAACGGATTTATTAATACTGCCCACTCATTTCATTTATTTATTTATAAAGCACATTTAATAACAACAGGGAGTTGACCAAAGTGCTGTACAAAATAACAATTAAACAATGACATTAACAACAACAACAGGTAAGAAAATTAAAAGAAAATTAGGATAAAAGAATTGGTAACTCTCATACAGTTTCGAAAGCCAGAATAAAAAATTATGTTTTAAGATGCAATTTAAAAAGAGTAACAGTTGGGGCCTTTCTAATGTGGAGAGGTAGATCATTCCACAATTTCGGTGCCACAACCGCAAATGCCCGATCTCCTCTATGAACCATCCTAGACTTATGTAAGGAGCAGGTGATCGCTTGATCGAAGGGCTCTAGAGGGCGTATAAAGCTGCAATAGGTCAGACAAATAGTCCGGTGCCTGCCAATTAGCACTTTATAAGTCAAAAGTAAGATTTTGGATTTAATTCTAAAACGCACTGGAAGCCAATGAAGGGAAGCAAGCACCGGAGTAATATGCTGGTGTTTCTTCACAGGAGTCAAAAGGCGAGCTGCAGCATTCTGTACAAGTTGGAGCCGGGCCAAGCTGGACTGACTGACACCCACATATAGTGCAGTAATCCAGTTGAGATAAAACAAACGCATGAATTGCTCGTTCCAAGTTTCTAAAGGATAAAAAAAGATCTCCGTCGCTTGCTTCACTTTTTGGGTGAATGAGATGCCATCAGGGCTATAATTGGGATCTAAATGGCAAACAGTTGGTTTTAGTGTTTAACGAGTTTCCTCCCACGGGGGATTCAACGTCCCCCACCCCACACCAGTGCGCACACAATATTTACTTGTTTACTTTTGGAAGAATTTTACGCACAAACATTTTTCTTCTTTCTTTTACAAAACATCAAGAATAAATAAAAAGAACCCGTGATATAGAGTCACACAGACTGCCACAGTTTGTTATAATATTCTAACACAGAAGTCCGTATTCCTCTTTTATCCAAGTAATTAGTTCAAATATGTCCGCAAACGTTTTGCGCGCATATTACCATAAAGACCGTAGCGCAAGTAATGTCCTTTTAAGCCGCCACAAGTTCACATATTAGTATACCTGCTGCGTTGATCTCTGTACAGGAGAATGAAACTACCCACCTCTATTTCTTTTTTGCAATGTGCTCACCGTTTTTCTTCAGTTTCCTGCGAGCCATCCTCGTGTGCGCGCAGTATTTATTTCAAGATGACAGATGCACAGCAATAACCTCTGGAAAGCTCCTTTTTCAAGAACGGCACTCTGACTTGGGGCCTGCCCGGTTCCCACAGACGCGTTTGTGTTGACTGATCACACAGGCAGCGATCATCCGCGGCTCTTCCCCACCCCTGACACTTTTCGACCCGCAGCTGATGAAAAATGTGTAAATTATTTCCCCCCGCAGGAACTGATCGTCCCCGAACTGAGCGTCAGGCCTGCAGACTGATCACGTGCAGCTCAGCAGCTCAAAACAGTCTCAACAAAGGGCCGCCGATTTTTTTAAAACAGGAATTTGATCCCAAGAAACCGATCACCTTCCCGCTGTATTATATTATAACGCTGAGCGTCATTTTCTTTAATCAATATTTAATTTTTAATATTTGGTTGCAAAGGTGGGGCTAGTATTCTATAAAAGCTTTTCTACCTGCCGGTAAAAAATGCATGGAAATACGCTTCTGCGTCAGGCCAAAATATTACAAATAGTACATTTTTACTTTCGCAACTCAAAGTTTCTATTTTCCAATCGTTTAATTAGCTGGAATAAATAATCGTTTAGTCAGATTTATTTCAGCCTGATATTATTCCATTATTGGTTTTATATGTGTCGGGAATTTAAATGGGGATTGTTTGAGGATAATTCATTCTCAAATTAGACAGTTATTAACATCAATATGAAACAAAACAAAATAATCAGCCGAGAATTTGATGGCAGTGTTTTTTTCTCTCTCCTTTTCCAAGCAAAATGATCTCATCTGAAAAAAGATGTCTCTAAGCCCTGGACGCGTATGTTTCTTGCGACTCTGTTTTTCTTTTACTGACCTGCAGATCTGTTAAAAACGAGCCCTCAACGAGCTGAGCAGAGCACAAGAATTTTACTTGCTAATCGTCTCGTTCCGTTTGTTGTGTCCTGAGCGCACAGCTCTGAGATCAGCCCACCTGTCCTGCTGAAGCTCTGTTCCGGTTCCTCAGCTGTCGGGCTGACACAATGGAGCTGTAATTGAGCTTTTCCTGCAACGACTTTTAATGATGGAATCAGGTTCAAGCACTTTGTGAAAGTGTAAAATATCAGAATATTATTTTGTGGTGGTCTCCGTGAGGCCGAAGGCCTCGCCTCGGCCTCTGCAGTTCCAAAGCTGATGATCAACAGTCAGATTAGGACTTAAAGTGAAGTTGCAGGATCTGGGTATCAAAGACTAAAATAGGTGTGTTGCTGAGGTCTTTTTTTTTTTTTAATTTTTTTATATATTATTAAGCCCATAAAGTTTGAACTGATAATGATCTGATTGGTGTATTTACATGAGGCCCTGCCTTTAATGTCGATAAAAGCACAGTAAAAACATATATGTGTCTCCATGTGATTCATTATGGAGTAAGTTCGTTAGGCTGTTGAAGTCGGAGAGATGGCTCCTTTTCCCGGACGCGCTCCTTCCTGCTGCTGCCATTGGACAAAACACTTTGTCTAGCTCTGTGTTCTTACTTCTCATTGGACACGCGGCTTTGCCAGAGCGCAGGAGAGCCGCCCTCTGCGCCTTTGAGAGAGAGAAAAAAAGACTCCTCCAGAAGTGATTATCAATCAGAGAGAAGTGAGGGGGACAGAGAGAGAAAAAGACACGGAGTGGAAGCACGGAGAAACGCGTGAAGCAGCACACCGCATCAAAAACACCGAGTCCTGCCGCGCTGCCAGGATGACACAGTCCTCCAAAAGTTTGTCGCGGCGTTTCTAGTCACAGTTGGGATTACTTTGGACACTTGGTGAGTTTGCGATCCGCTGTAAACACTGACGTGTGCATTTTTTCTTCTTCTTCTTTTTATTTTTTTTGATTGTTTTGCTTCGCTGCGTTGGACGGACGGAGTGGGTTTTTCGCCGCTTCCCCCCACTTAGGGTGGATTTTGTGAGAAATGAGTGAAAGGAGGCGATCTGCCGCAGCTCTGAGCTCTAGAGCCCACGCTTTTTCCGTGGAAGCCCTGATCGGCTCCAACAAGAAGAGGAAGCTCCGGGGCTGGGAGGAGAAGGAGCTGGAGTTGTCCATGGAGAGCCTCGCCACGGACGGAGAGGATCCGGCGCACTGTCTGGATATGGATCCCGGTCAGTGCGCAGACACGCACAACATCGCTCAAATGTCACTGCAGAGCACTGCAAATCCACAAGTCCCGAGTCAAAACGTGGCTCTGTGTTCAATGACCCAACCCCATGCAGAGCACACAGAGTCCACGCTCCACATTGTTCAGATCTTTACATTAAACAGACTGAGATGCAAGCCTGTGGAGTTATGCGTTTGGTCTACAGGGATATTGTCTCATATATTCAGCATATGCGTTGATTTTCATCAGTAACAACAATAATAATAATAATGAAAAAGCACAAAAACAGTTAGGACTTAGTTGATATTTGGTAGGTTTTTTGTGGGTTGGCCAAGTTTTGACTCTGGACTGGCGGATTACAATGTGAAGCTGCACCAGAAACACATAAAAACACATTTGAATCAGCTGTTTGCTCCTTGAGCCATTTTAGCCCAGCAATAATCTGCTTGAACTGCAGGGAGGCCTCAGTTTACTGCAGGAAGGTGCACTGGTTGAAACTAACCACTCAGTCTAACACGTTTCATCCTCGAAGAGGAGCAGCCTTTAAATAGTCACAATTACACTGTCCTCTGATGAGAGTTTAAAAAATACGTTTCTGTGGAGAATTGCATTAAGGCGCACAAATTCGCAGAGCAGCCCGTCCATTCTCCATTCACGAGTGCGCACAGAGAACGCTTAAAGAAAAAGAAAGAAATCAAATGTTGTCACGTCATCTGCTTAAAACGGGTAAGCGCTTTAAATGTGTTGTATGAAACTAACAGTCACACAAGATGGTTATGAAATATTTGAGTTCATAACTGCACTCAAGTAGTGGAAAGGCGGGTTGTGTAAAAGCAAAGGAAAACTAAATAATAATAATAATAATAATAACAACGGAGTGAAATAAATATCACAGTTTAGAAAGCGTGGCAAAAAATAATTATATTTTATTGTAAGTAGTTTTATACGTATCCTTAAAACAAGCATGCGCGATGAAGCAATTAAAAAAAATAAGTTTATATAGTTTGTTCTTTTTTTATTTTAATTTTTAAATCATAGCTTTTTTGCAGCTCAAAACAAACTTCATTGTAAGTTTTTTGCGCCAAGTCAGCATTTCTATATTTTCATTGCGCAATATAATTATTTTAAATAAAACATAATCTGTTTTGTCTCAGCAATCTTAAGGCGTAATGCGTGGAGATTAAGTAACCCTGCAAAATAACCCTGACTGTTTTTTTTTGTTTCTTTTTTGTTTTAAATACCTTGAGGCTTCCCTTTGAGTTCACAATGTTCGTTTTTCGCTTCACGGGTTTCAGCTGCAATTCAGTTTAGTTTTATCTTTAAAATCATTCACGAAAAAAGATTTTTGTTAAGTCGGTCACTTGAAAAGTAAAATTAATATAGAGGACTAAATGAGCCGTGTAGATAATGTACGCTATGCACATGTGAATTCACATTAGTTCGCCGCGTGGGCCTGTGTGAATCAAGTTCTATCATAACCGCATCACTGCTCATTAAATGTTTGTATGAATGCGCAGAAAGGTAGAAGCTGAGCTTTGAGCCTTGAGCTGGCTCAGACGGTCTCAGGCCAACACTACCTCGCCGCCTGCAGCAGTCTGACCTTTGGGGTCGCACGGCTACTCTCCGGTCTTCAAACGGATCCAAACGCAAACCTTAAAGAGTAAAAGCAATAATAATAAAAATAACAAAAGCGAATAAACAAAACCAAACTATAGTTTTCTCGAGGGTTTGCCTCCCAGGAGCTCTCTTGGGAAGTTTGTTGTTATTGAAGGCCGTCCGTGGTGAAATGAGGAAGGTGGAACTAAACGCTGATTACAAGCAGCTCGTTTCTGTATGTGTTTGAAAGGGTAAACGCATCAAGAAAAAATAAAGCTTGGTAGTCACTGAAAAAGACCTTCAAGTCATTTACTAAAAAGTTGTTTTTGGCTGCAGCGGGGAGCAGAAAGGTCTCTAAGTTCATCTCCTCATAGTTTTTGTATAGTTTCAGAATTTGTGGCTGAGTGGACCAGTTCCTGGTCCCTCTGTCCCGCTCATTAGCAGGCGGATTCCTGGCAGGTTCTGCGGGCCCTGCTTGAGTCCGAAAGCCTCCACTTTGGCGCGTCGGGCGGAGGTGACCGAGAACAGCGAGTCTCTGTGGTCAGATTATGTGGTTTAGAGGAATCCTTAACGGAGTGATTTTATTTTTACTCAACTGCAGGCGATGCTGGAAGCCGGCTGGTCGTATAACACGTTTATTAGCCTCAAAGACAAGGGCAGGACTGAGACAAGCACAGAACTGAACCAGGCTCGGATTTAACAGCCTGCCTGGAAGAGCTCAGCAGCTCAGTTAGCTCTGAAAAAACGTTGTTTTGTTAGACCTCACAGAACTACTTCCACCACACACTCATAATATTTATCCATTAAAACATCGATTAACAAGTTAAACTACATCTACTGTGAATTCAGAATTATGCGATTTGTATGGCGGTAATTTATAATAATTACTTTTTAATACGCAGAACTGAAGCCATGCAACAAACTGACATTTTGCTAAAAATCGGGTATTTATAACCTATTAAGATCAATGTAAAATTATATATTAATGTCACTACACCGCTCCTTCTGTTTGCCATTTCTCCAAAAGCTCCCTCTCTGTGTAAGCATGCAAGCTGATAGAGAGAGATGGGCTTGAAGTTTGCTTACCTCCAGTCTGCATCAGTGTAGGAAACAGGTGCTCTCACGGTGTGGATGGTGTTACTCACTGGTTTCATGCTGGGCAAACCGCCGCTGATGGCGTTTTTCCAGTTTTGCAACCTAAGACATGACATCTTTTATCAGTGCACCCCAACATCAAACGGATATTTGCAGATCATTTCAAAGGGATATATTTGGCATGTGTTTTCAATTTTTTTAAAAAGTTGCATGATTTGTAATATTACCTACTTGTGGAATTGTTTTGAAGTGTTGCAGCCCAAATCAGGTTAAAAAGGTCAGTACTGTTCATTAGAAGGAAATTAATAAGACATCTATACTCGATCATTTAAACCAGTATTTTACACGGATGATATAGATCCGATCTTGAAGTTTTAATTGGTGATAAAATAAATTCAAATAACAATAATCTACTTCTCCTTATTAACATATTAATAACTATCTATTTACAGTTCAACCCCGCTTGAGTTCTGCTGACAGTGTAGTGACAAAATGTGAACTGCAACACAAGAGACCACCGTAATGTACAGCACAGACGATTCAGTTCTGGCCAATTAGTGGCTTAGCATCAGTGTTAGTCTCAATTTAATAAGGCCTGGCATGAGCTTAAAGAACCACAAGATGCTGGCCCCATGTGATATTCTGTTTGTGTGTGTGTGTGTGTGTGTGTGTGTGTGTGTGTGTGTGTGTGTGTGTGTGTGTGTGTGTGTGTGTGTAGCTAACCACAGCCTCAGAGGGGACAGAATTCTGCTGAGTGGGCAAATTTTTGTCTATCAATAAATGTCAGTTTTTATTTGTTCAGCATAAAGTGGGAACTTAAGCTCTGAAACAAAAACCCAGGTCTTATAATCTTGGCGCTGTGCGACTCTGGACTAAAGGTTTTATGCTGTGTTTCCTGTTTTGCTCGATTTTGACACATTTGCTCTGAGTTCTTAAACTGTGACCTGACTTCAGACGTGCCATTTAAATCTACACATGGACATAACGCACACATTGAGCTCTACCTGCTGCTAGGTATGTTTGCCTGTTTGCCATTTAGGTTTAGAGCTCTGCGTTCGTGTGTGTGTGCAGCCGCCGAGTGGCAGAGGACAGGTCCTTCAGCCTAGTGTCAGGGTGGCCTGGCTCCAGCTTGGTCCTTTGGTTCGCCCCCTCTGCATCTTGAAGACATTCATACCAAAATTATCTCATTTAATCGAGCTGCTCTTGCTGTCTGGAATGCATCTGTTTCCTCTGAGCGCCTCTGCTTCACACACCATCAACTAGCTTGAGATGCCAATAGTGGATTGCACAGGGTAGCTTTTCAGCCCATGTTTACTGCAAATATTCCGATCGAGCTTAATTTTGATGGCACAGATGTTCGCATTCTTTATTTGTTTGGAACCTCGTTACTGTTAGAGTGAACTAGCAAATGTGTTTAGATTATTAGAAGACCCCAATTCAACACTGAAACCTGACAAATGATATTCTTGTAGATTTATACCCTTATTTGAGCTTCTTATTTTAATTTGGTGACAGACTTACAGTTGTGCCACACAGCTTGAAACAGAGTTAATCAAACTTCACTGCGGACATTATTGAGACTGATGGTGGTGCAAGGCTGAAAACACTCAACCCTAGGCCAAAACATTATATGAAAATTCTATACCAATAAAAAAAAAAGAATACAAGCAAATGTCTAAAGCAGGTTAACAATAGAAGTCTGTTTATCTTAATAAAATAAGGTGTTTAATTTTCATTGAAAGCCCCGAGTTTGATTGATCTAACCTTACAGGCCCCTTTAAAAATTAATTAGAGTAATACAGACGTGATTTTTTCTTCATTTCACTTAAGCCCTCCATCCTGTCCTCTTCCTTTGGCACCAGGAGCATGTGTTTATAAAGTGTGAGGGGGCAGCTGAATGACTGTGTGCATGAGTGTGAACAGTTAAAGGGAATCATGTGTGACAGTCCTCACTGGCTGCAGTGACACTGGAGGGATCTCCAAAGAAGATGATAGAAAGACTTTCTCCGTCTCTCTGTGGTCACGGCACCCCTCGCCCCCTGCTCTTCCTATCTCTCCCCTTCACTCTCTTGTTTCCAGCAGGGTTGGCTCGGCCTGCGCCTCGGTGTTTTTTTTCGCCTGGGACTCTGTCCAGTCTCTCAGCAGCTCCGCATTTACATAACCATATTTGTGTGCCCTTAGTCTGCCAAGTTAACCTCCTTGTGTCAGGGCCCTCAATAAATAATACATTATTAGATTCTTTTTATTTTTTACTTTCTGGGTGGTGGTGGTGGTGGTGGTAGTGGTGGTGGTGTTGGAAAGGGTGTAGGATATTCGGCTATAAACTATTTCTGAGAAAAGTGAAACGAGAGAAAGCATGTGGTGATCTTGTGAAGGTTTCTATCTGGATAAAGTGCAGGTTCAAAGATTTGAGCAGTGAAGTTTTTGGCAACCCAGCTGGAAAAAAAGATGATCTTTTTTTAAAAATATATTTAAGCCCTAAAGGTTGAAATTTTAAATCTAAAAGACATCACATGTGTTAAATCACATTACAGATTCAAGCAGAGAAAAGGGGGCAGAGCAACTGCTGGTTGTGTAAGTCTACATTCCTCTTTCCGTGGAAGGGATTTGTTGGTTTTACAGCGTTTTTTAAAATTAATTCTATTTTTATTACAAGAAAGTAGCTTTTAGTGTAGAATGCAAACTTAAGTAATAAGTGTTTCTGATGTAAATAACACAGCAACAGCTTGGGTGACGTATTTCAACTGAGTAAATTGAACTTCTCACAGAAAGCCACTCGAATTTCTTAGGTGTGCTTTTTATTTTTGTCCGCTGTATAGTAGCCTGCTAGTTTAAAGCACACTGAAATAGGGCGACGTGAAATAAAGTGAGGTCACTCTGGTTGTTTTTTGGGGGAATTAGAAGCTCAGAAAGATGGAAAAGCTCTCCTGTAGGTCTGGATTTGCTTCAAGATCGGAGCAACGTTTTATCTGGTCTAACGCTGTGACTGCGCTGATGACTTTGAACGGTCAGTCTGTAAAACTTGGTCCAGGAGGAACACTTGAGGGGAAATTTCATTTGCTAAATGTTTCCCAGTAGAATTCTTCATTGTGTGGCCCGACTTAAAATTTAATATTTTCTAAGTCGCTTTTCAAAGGCCTTTACGCAGCATTTATTCTGCTTTTGACACCGACCCAGAACTCCATGACGAGCCTGAGCCAGTAAGCCAAACGCTTCTCTCCGGCTGTAGCCGGCAGGTGATTTGGAGTCAGCCGAGAGAACCGCGCTGTACTTTCTGGTCGTGCCAAGTTTCCTGCATAAAGCTTAAAGCGCTTAATTCCACTGTTTCAGAGCTGCCTTCTCATCTTCCTTATTCCCCCCTCAGACTCAGAGGCGAGTCCCGGCTCGGACGGAGAAGGTCTAGCCGAGAGGACGTCGTGTTCTTTCGGCTCATCTGCCGATCTGGCCCCGGGCCCCTGCGACCCGTCTCCCCCGGCCTCCATGGATGAGATTCAGGTGGAGCTGCAGTGCGCGGACCTGTGGAAGCGCTTCCACGACATCGGCACGGAGATGATCATCACCAAAGCCGGCAGGTAAGGTTCATATA